CTGTGTATCAAACATGTGTGTTCTTAAAAAAATGCAAAATGGAAAAAAAGAAAGAAAAAGGAGGGGGAGGGAAGCATTTATTTGTCTTAATCTCTCTCAGACATATTTCATGTTCTAGGAATAATTTCCCCCGTCATTCCTGATTCATGCAACTGCTGTTTTATTTTATATTCACTAAAAGGCAAGGGCAAATGGACACTCGCACACTATGCAAAAGGTCTAAATGCCAAAAATGTAGAAATACATCATAGCACACATTGTTCCTAAAAATATTTGCTTCATGAAATTGTGGAGGTTTTTTTCAGTCTCAGTAATTTTACCTGGGAGCTTGGCTATGAGAGTTCACAACATTCACAAGAGATAGTCAGTGAAAGACTGCAGGAACAGATTTCCCAAAATAAATATATATTATTCATTTTAGTATATTCTCTTCCATAATGAACAGGCATTCCTATTACACTTGTAATGAATGCTTTCTCAACTCTTACTGGCATGACTAATATTCTGAAGGAAAGAGACAAGTTAGTGAGGCAAACTTGTAGATACAGAAGTAGGATGGAATGGCAGTAGTGTAGTTATATAAATAGAGAAATTCTCCCCATTGTCTTCCACAAGCAGCATAAACTTTATCTAAGAAAATACTCTGCAGCAGTTAAAGAGTCTAATTCTGACCTGTCGTCAGTTTTGCATGGGCTCTGCCGATGATTCTGAGTTACTAGTATTCCAGTGGCTGTACTAGATTCTTCAAGTCTAGAATCAAGTCAAAATCTTGTGACTGGGGGTGATGTAAATTTTAAACTAATTTTAAACTTTTTGCAATATATGATTTTTCTTCAGAAATACTGTATTCCCTACATATAAATTGAGGCAGGGAGATTTTGCAGTGATGGGAGCTAGTTTAAAATACTTAAGCAGAACAAGATAGACAATTGCTTAGTAAGATTTTGTATTGCCTTCAGTCCAATGCCTTTCCTTTTGTTTAAGCACACTCCAGTTGAATGGTACTTCACCGACTGGTATAAATAACCAAAGCAGAATGTTGCAAAAATAGTGTAGATGTACGCACAAAGTAGAAGGATGGAGAGGCAGAAGGCATTTATTTATTAGCAACTCTGTTATGGTATGTGTTATGTGTTAAGCAAATCTGCCTTGGCTTTGAGGAGCAAAACTCCTTTGAAAGCCAGAGTCGAGAGCAAAGCTTGGATACTTGGAACCTCTGGATATCAGTTTAGTTGTTTCTGTTCTTTCTACAAAATGGAGATAAACCCAGCTTTTGATCTATATTTTTGTAAACACTGTATAAAGTGCTGGCTGTTATTTGACATGACTATTACAGTTCATAATGCATAGACCAAATTGATATCCTGTGGCCTCTAAAAAATACTTCACACATTATGTGTATTTGAATTTTACATGCACTTAGTCCGCTGAACAAATTGTTTGTACTCTGTTCTTGATACTGCTTTTTCTTCAAACCTTTCTTGAACCATTAACATCCCTCTATTTTGTTAAAATAAGACAATGCAAACAGACATGAAATCCTATCATCTGAAAAGAAACAGTATTCTTTTGGAATCTAACAACCAGATAAATATTTAAGCGCTAGTAATGATTCATTAGACTCATAACTTGCCTTTGAATCAGGTATTTTGATGCAATCAGTGTGGATGCCAGGAGGAAAAACCCTTTAAGTCAAAGAGACTTGCACATGTGCTTAAATTTAAGCACAACCTGAAATGCTTAATGCATAGGAAGGAACTAATGCCTCTGGCCCTAAACATCAAACATTTTAAGTAGATGCATTAGTGATAATAGAAGTACAAGATCTACTTCCCTGCTCTCACCGCTGCTTCTAATGTACTCTAACATCTTAGGAAACAAGACCAAATGGACAAAACAGAGGCCTGTTAAGAAATGCTTCTGTTTTCCTTTTTCTCTGTTACCATTTGTAACATACAGGAGCCTCTGTAAACTCCTATGAAAGTATTTAACTCCCATGAAATCATAACTCTGAAAATTAGACAAAAGGAACACTAACGAATGAAATGCTGTTGGAGGCAACAAGACATGGTCAATTTTTACTTAGCCTGATTCTACTGTTCAAGATGTTTCTTGAACACACTAAGCAATATACCTACTAATTAGCCGCCATTAGCAGATAGTGAGAACCCTTAAATACTCCTCTAGTGCCTTAATTAACTAAGAGGTTTTACATATTCTCCCTTTCTTTTTCTTTCTTTTAAAGAAGGACATTTATCTCTGCTTGACATACATTTCTTCAGCAAATTTCCATACCCAACAATTTGCCACACACAGGTATTAGCAGCTTGCTGTGAAATCACAGGATGGATTTCAGCTTCCTTGAAGTTGTATTACCACTGGCAGCACTGGCTTCTATTTTGCACCTACATGGAGTTGGCTCTAGTTTAAGAGCACCTAGAAGGTGTTGCTTCAGACTGCCCGAAGAGCAAGGGGTGCCCATTTCAAGATTAAAGTGCCTCCGAATGAGTTTTGTTTTAATGGCAGATGCTTCTGACTAACTGGGCTGTGTAGCTTTGTGTCGGCTCAGGGTGCCGGAGGTCAAAAGCATTTCAGATGTGCAAGGCCTGGTTACACTTACCTGCTGCTACAGTACTTTCTCTAATTATTATTGTTTTGGACTAAGTTTGCCCTGATGTAGAGAATAAATAGAAGACTCTAGACATTTGAAAATGCACAGGCACAGCCATCTGAAGAAGTAAATTCCAATTTTCGTATGGATTGTGCCATATTATCAATGTATCTTTCCAAATATTTGGGCTATAATTTTTTTTTGGTTGAATTTTTGAAACCTTGAAGAAACTCCATGTCTCTTATAACTCCATTTATGAATTTGCCCCTGAATCTTTTTACTTTTTACATCAAAAGTTACTGCCTCTGTTTGGTTCTGGTTTTCCTGTGTTGCTACATTATCTGTTATGATTAGATGTCCTGTTACAGGAATCTTCTGCTCAATTTGACTTATATTTGGAGAGTCTTCAGTTTAATTTCTCATTCTTTACATCTGGCCCTAAGGAGATCCTTCTCTCTGATTGTTTCACCAGTTGTATGTTTAATACAATTACAGCACTAAATTCCATCAAAATTGAGTTTTACTTAGGTAAAATACTTTCAAAATTGAATTTATGCCTTTTAGAGTTGAGTGTTGTTTTTTTAAAAAACTTTGTTAGTAATTTGAGCCCTAGCAAAAAATGTAATTCTGGAAGTATATTTCATAGACAGGAAATGTGTCTGCCTCCTTCTTTATTTAGTTTTTCTCCTTTCTTTCAGCCTCATAAAAATTGCAGATCCTTTGGGATTTTTGGTCATGTTTTGATTATGCCTCAGGTTAACTACTTCAGCTCATTTTTTGGTGGGCTTCAAAAGGTAGTGTTCACAAACATTGAGTTTTGAGCTCTCACCTGTCAGATGTTCAGGATGTCCAGAATGTAAAGGTATTACATTTTGACAATAAAGCACCAACAAGAATGTCACCAGATCACTAATTTAAACTGCTGCAGCTAACCTGTCTGATTTTGCCTAAAGCAAATGAGGGAGTGATGACAGGAGTTGTAAGTGGGTAGGAAAGGCAGGGAAAGGAGGTGGTGAGGCAGCACCTCAGGGTGGGGATGGGGAAAGGTAACCATGAAAGGTTACCAGGACTGGTGGGTCTGGAAGCAAATGCCTGTCCATCGGTGCTTACCAAGTGCATTTGTGGGTTTTGCCACAAGTGTTACATTTGTTCAAGGTTGCATTGCAAGTATTTAGGAGGATGGGGAAAAGACCACAAATACCTTTGACTTACACTCTGCTGCTCTACAGCCTGTAGAGCAGTAAGTGTTCCCAGGAGTATGCACTGGCTTGTGGTTTTAACATCTAAACATCCTGGGATAAAAACATTATGGGGTGGTGTCCCCCAAATATTTTAATGTTGGAATAAATAGTCCTGCTGCTGTAACTGTGCTGTGACAGCTGGAGCCCAAGGAGCGAGTGGGTACAGGCTGGAGCATGGAAAAAATTCAGACTTGTGCCCTCAGTTTTCCAGCAGATCTGCTAGAGCATCTGTGCTGCAGGCTTGCATTTCTCAAGTGTCCACATTCCTCTAAAGTGAAATGAAATATTAGGCATGCAACTGATACTCTGGAAAACACTTTCTTCTTATATCTCCTTCTGGTGCAGAGTAACAAAGAGATTAACAAAGTTTGTAAGGACATGTGCTCCTATTACTATCATGTGTATACAATCCAAAGGCCTTTCAGAGGAGTGGTTGGGAAAAGGCTGTGAATTATGTGGTGGATTAATTCCAGGAAACCATTGTATCCAATCTGAGGTTAATACTAATAGCCTGCTTCATAGCTATTATTTAATTATTGTTGAGTTTTGTTCCTATACCAGGAACTTCTTTTCTGAAGTGGAGGATTTTGAATGAAATACATCTGAATTTGTCTGCAAAATGTTTGAGTAGAATACTCAGAAGGTAGTATGTCCCAAACAAAGCCTTTTCATAGGAAAAAAGAAGCAAAATATAGAGAGGTGAAGATGATAGAAAGATTTCCCACTCCTTTCCCCTTTTCATATCTCATCCAAAACACTCTGACAGAAACAATGTCAGAGTTTGGGAAGCAAAAGTAGGTATTTTTTTCCAGGTCGTCCTGTCCCATCCCCCCTCCTTCCCCTTCCCTCGGCTCCTGAATTCAAAAAGGTAAATACCTGCCTGAATTTTGTCCCTAAACACACCTCTGTTTTGGTCTGCCCACCAAAACCAGATACATCCTTTGTCATGGGAGTACGCCTTTCAGTGCAAATCAGAAGCAAGATGGAGATAGTGCTTGTTAGAGGAAGCCAAAGGCAAAAAATATCCAGCGGTGGCTGACTGTGCCTTGCAGACGAGGTCTCAAGCATTGATGGGTTTCTAGGTATTACAGTAAACGCACCTAGTGTTTGTCTCACACTGTTGTTAAAACCTGGTGTTTCTTTTCCAGGTGTCTTGTTTTCGCTGGTAGTCGTGATGTATGTCATCTGGGTTCAGGCGGTGGCTGATCTGGAAAACTACACAAACATGAAAAAAATGGATTGCCCAGACTTTGCTGTTTATGTACGCTATGGCTGGTCTTTTATGCTGGCTCCTATAGGAGTATTTTTTGTTTTGTTCTTGTTGGTAGGGCGTGCTATTTATTTACACTCAGACTAGTCATACACTGCTGAAGGGAATACAGGAATCCTAGTGAAACTTCATGACTGTTGTAAACTGGAACACGATTTTATACATTATTACTATTATGGCAATCCTAAATATGCAGGCAGACTTCTGGAAGTTCTTCTGTTACTTGTTTAAGGGTAAAGGACACAAAACTCAATACAGGAAGAAACCACCTTTAGTCTCAACTAGTTGGTTTTAATTCTTTAGAAAGTACCCACGTGGTTCTCCATATGGTACTATTAGCAGCATTTTTTCAGTTTTGCAAACAGAGGAAGGCAAAAGTTTTCTGCAACCAAAAGCCCAACATGAAGTGAGCCAAATGAACATTTTGTACATTTGTCTTTTAACATTTACTTTGTGCTTCTGCTTGTGGAGAATGGTACAAGGTGGAGGAGAAAACACACATTCAAACACAGCAATTCAATCTACCTCCTCTCCTGTTTTCCCCTACTTGCCTTAGCTTTAATACAAGCAAACATGTCTGCACTTTATAAAAATAGGGTGCAGTTTTTCATGCAGCATCGATGGGAAGAGGCCGAGAGAGAAGACAGTTGCCGTGAACAGCGACCTGGTGCTACTCCATACATGTAAAAGCTTAACTGCTTCCTTTACACGTTTCTCTTTTCTGTATGCATTTGAAAGCTGTATACTTCTGTATTCTGAAATCCATGTTTGTTGCATGATTCTATAAGCCCATATGCCATAGTTAAATCACTAGCTGAAGTTATGCCAAAATTGTACTCTGAATTATAGCGTTAATATTTTAATCACGTTTTAAACCTTTTATTTTTGAATGGAATAATTGGCTCCTCCAACAAACATTTTCCTGGTTGTGTAAAATGACTTTTTTTATTTAAAAAGGTTTATTAAGAAGACAATATCAAGGACATGAAAATGTATGTTTTATATAGCCTTCATTTTCCCAAATATTAAAAATCGGCATTACAGACCAAATCCAACTTGCCTACTAGTCATCCCAGGGAAAGCAATGAGACCAGCTAAGCCAGCAGGGGAGATGGATTTGGTTCTGTATGGTAGAAGTGGCTGGTTCTCTCTGTGTGTGCGTGTGTGTGTGTGCGCGCGCGCATATGTTTGGAAGATGGGTGAGGATGGGACTGTGTGCATGGTATGGAAAAGATGGGGTGGAGTTTTAAAAATGGGGAAACTTTGTCTGGCATTGGGCCCAAGTTGAAATTAAATCCATCTGAGAGTGTGTTGGTTTTCACTTTGTAACTCAATGCAGAGTAGTTTGGGACTGCTGGGGAAAAATAAAGACTGCATGTTGGTTTCTTCTTGTTCATAATGCTTAATTCCACAGCTGTTACGAATACTGAAAGCATCACTAAAAGGCAGGAAAGGAGTGCCCACCTAGAAGATGTGGTGGGCCAGATTGGATGTTGCTTCCATTTCGGGAGCTTTTGTGACTGGAAGCTTTCCAGCCTTCCCTGCTACTTATTTATTTTTCCATCATCAAGATTAGCTCTATACATTATAGAACAGGAAGACAACAAGGGCGGGGGGTAGGGGAGCTGGGAGTATGAGGTTTGGAATAATTACCAAATCACAAAAATATTTTTATTGGCAGCTAACATGGTGTTTTTAATTACTGTGTCAGAGAGTATGATGGGTGAATTTTAACCAAATATTCATAAGCATATATATGAACTCCATATAAATGATAGCCATCCGGAGAACATTAGGGTTACACCATAATGCCCTTGGTTAGTCAGGAAATGCTGAAATTAACCCTGCCCCTTGTGCATATGGTATTATATTCCTGCCCTTAATTACACAATCACATACTGTTTCTCAAATAATACAATCTGTTGGTATTTACCCCCTTTACAGTCTAAGATACTCACTGGTAATTGTGGAGGTAAATTCAATAATCAAGAGTTATTTGACTAGGTACGCCTCTCAAACCCTGTCTACTTCTCTGCAGGGGAGAGTCCTTCTTCACAAGAACTTAGAGGGGGCAATATGCTTGAGCCACGTTCTTGCAACTTTTAGAAGCTGGAGGAATTGAGAGGTGCCTCAGAGCTGGACTTCTTCCAGCAAGCCTAACCATGTGTGCAGCAGCAACTAATAAACTCTGCAAGGAATGAGCCAAAGGCTCCCATGGAGCCCTTAATTCAGCCCATGTGCATCTTCAGAACTCTCTCCATTATGCAGCTAAATTAGCTACACTCTTGTGTGCGAGGCGGCCTCTCTTGGAGGCAACCCTTCGGGTCAGACTGCGGGCATAATGGCCGTTGAAGATCCAAGGTGTTTCTGAGGGTTTCCTTAGAAACTTCAGGAAGCTCTTCTGGCGTCAGTAGAAATTGCTTGAGTACTCCTGAATTTTTCACTCAAACTCACGCTTTTGGCAATAGTCTGTAGCTCTATCCATTTACTTTAATTGGATACCACCTTCTTCTCCTAACGGCAGAACTGAGAGTCGGGTTCCTTCTGAAACGGTGTGGACAGGTTGCTTGCTCCCTCCAAAACATGTTTGTAGCTGAGCAGATGACGTGTAATAAGTAGCTGCTGCGGACCAGGGAATGGTGTTGAGGGTGGTGGGGAGGCATTTCTGTATGGATATTACCTAAAAGCACAGTCTAACTCTTGTTCTTCTGATTTCGTTAAAGAACTATGGATTCTTTAATGGGGGGGAATGGGTTTGTAAGAACTCAGGGAAGACAGGCCAGCTAAGGAGACTCGATCTGTGGCATTCTTCCAGATACGCTTTTGTCTAGAAAATCCTTGGCGGCAACGCAGGGATTTTCATGATTAGAGCTGAGTAAAAGATTGTAAAGGGGATTAAACACTGTAATCAAAATATTCGGTGAAATTGGTCAAAGAAAGAACTGTGTTCCTCACAAACCTATAGGGTTTTGGGGTTTTTATTTTTAATTGCCTGGCTGGCTTAATAGCCTATGGTCATATTGGAAGAAAAGAGATTTTTTTTTTTAAGTAATGTGTTTGGAAAAGTGGTGGTAAAAGGAACAGGTAGATAAGAAGCATTTTCTGATTACTTTCAATCTGACAATCATCCGCTTGTCCAGTGTAAACATGGCGAGGACCGTGACAGCCCAGGCAGGAGGCAGTGAGAAAACGAGGGGATGGAGGTAAGGAAGGAGGGAGAGAAAGGAGGGTGAGCGTCCTTCTGCGATGCCCTCTGCCAGCCCGCTCTGCAGCTGTTGTGGATTCCTGGGGGACGCGCTGACACAACGTGGCAAAGGCAGCTGCGGACAAAAACAGTCAGAAAAGGATTTGCCCTGGGTTTATCCTTGTTACTCATTGGGGTGGCTGCTGCAAGTTTCACTGGAGCTGCCCTTCGTGAAATATGTGGCTGTTTATTGACATTTATGTTAGTGAGGTAAAGCAATGTTCTCCTGTGAGGAAAAGCAAAATAAAGCCTGCTCTCTTTCTCTGCAGGGTGCCTACCTGCTGCAACTGAGTCTGTACTCTATAGCGTGCTAGTAAACTGCTAGTAGGACGATTGTAAGTAGTGTCGGCATTGCTGTGTCCCCATTCTTGCAAAAGCCTAACTGGCTGCAAGGTATGTTGTGCGTATTATCTTTTAGGAAGTCATATTGTACCTCGTAAATGAGCTATTTACCTCCTGATGCAGCAGCTGGGTTTCGCTCTGGCTCTCCTGTTCCTATCTGTACTTCCGGCAATGTGATTTCCAGGCAGTGAAGACTAGATAAAGTATGTTCACACGAAATTCTGCTGTGTTAACTAGAGTAAATCTGGATTGATGCTGCTGAAGTCAGTGGAGATATTGAAATTGAAAACAGAAGTTGGTCATCTATAATCAAAAGTGACAGAAGGGATGAAGAATCACAAGTATTTACAGTGCCACTTTTCCCTCCATGTCTCTTACTCACATTACCAGTTTAAATTGGTCTATCTTTCCAGTCCACAATGTGGCTCATCTACCCAGGAGACACACTGACAATAGGGATCAGGAGAGCCATTTGACATGAAGGTAGGAAGGAATGGAGGGCTGGCAGCATCTCCTATGTTAGACACCTCCGAACTCTGCACCTGGTTTTTCCCTACATCTGAAAGAGCCCAGAGTGCTGGGAGGCTCTACATTTTACTGTGAGGATAAGGGGAGGGCCTGGAGCTCAGAAGTCACCCCATGCTACTTGCCGTAGATCTGTTCCTTATCTATTCCTAAAAACTGCCAAGGATGCATTTAGTAAAACTAGGGGGAGCCCCTACACGTGGAAGGTGACTTTCACACCGGGAGGCAGCCACTCTCAACGGGGTTGCAGCGAGGGGATGGTCTCAGCGGTGGTACTTCACATTTGGCACACCGTTCCCCCCACCCTGTGGCCCGGGTGCCCAAGGAGATGTTCTCTGAAATGACCTGCACGTGATTCAGATTTTAAACAGTTTAAGAAAAAGATCTTAAATTAATGCATCTTTAAGATAGAAACACACTTAAAACAGAAAGAAACCCAGAAAGATAATGAAAAACGTTCCCCCCTCCTTTTCTATACCACATCAGATTGACTTATCCTCTGTTATGTGGCTTTACTTTGAAACAGATCACTCTCATTGCAACACGTTTAATGCTGCCAGCCACCACATGGTTATTTGGCAGCTATTTAAAGCTCAGATCATATTACTCTGTCGCAGTGCTAGGCACCCGTGTTCCAACTGGTATACAACTGATGTAAAGAAAAATCAGCTTCAGGTTTTGTTCTCTGAAATTAAATGTGACGGCATGATCTCTATGATCCTTTTTTCCCCCCTTTTCTCCTTTTTTTTTTTTTTTTTGTATGCATTATTACTTTTTGGAACAGCATTTTCTAACACCACAAGGGAAATTCAGTTAGGTTGTCAGCCTGATATAGTGTATTATCAGACAGGTTAGCTTTTCCTACCTCTTACATTTGCTTAAGAGCTTATAAACCACAGAGAATAAAAAGTGTTAAATAGAATGAAATGACCTGTCAAGGGTAGATATAGTATTTGTGAATGACTTAAAAAAATTCCACCAGCTTCAAGCACTCCAGTCTCACTGACGGTCTGCACTATCTTGAAATTTGGCCTCTTTCTTTTTTACCCCAAGTAAAGTGCTTTGATGGTCATTGATCTTTGATGATTGTTTCTTGAAAAGGACTAATTTTGTCTTCCCATATTCAGTCCAGGACGAGATTTTGTAGCAGGAGAGGATGCCATTATGAGATTTGAAATAGATTTGAATCCTGCTTTTAATATAACAAGCCTAATCTTGAATTTTACAAAACATTGAACAAGAGACTCCCAAGAAGAATTAACCAATAAATACTTTACACTGCAGGGAATTTAATTATTTTATTAATGGAGAATAGGAGAATTTTCCATAGGAAATAAAGTGACTGATCTCATACTC